AAAACATTGATCCCTGAGAAATGAGAAACAAGGTGAGTTCTCCAATTATCCTACTTTACTGCAACACAGGGAGAGGACCCTAGGTGAAGCCTAATCAACTCCTTCAGTTGAGATAAAGCTGAGTCTGGGGAGACCAAAGCAGCTAGAATCTGCAGGACCAGAGTATCAGAGGAGAGAGAACTCTGGAGATCTTCAGAGGGTCCCACCCAAGTATTTACTAAAGTACCCACAAATATACACAAGGGAGGAAACTATTTGAAGACCCAAGACAGAACTTGCCAAAAGGATGAGGTTACAGTACCTGATGCCCACACAGGGCGGGAAGAATTCACAGAACAAAGAGTTCTCAGAATAATTATTCTTAGTAGTGGGGAATAATTAGCCCTAGTCTACTACACGGGTCCTGTCCAACAAGACCTGAAAGGATCCAACTATTTCCAAATAATGTAAGTGTATCTGAAAAAAAAAAAAAACTTAAGGAAATGTATAGGAATACAAAGACATTTAGTACCGAACAAGGTAAAATTCACAAAGTCTGGTAACGAATCTAAGATTATGAGGTATGCAAACAGGCAGGAAAACATGACCCACAATAAGAATAACCAATCAACTGCAGCCAACTCAGAACTTACACAGATGCTAGAATTAGCAGAGGATGACAATGTTCAAAAGGAGAGACGTGGAAGACATTTTACAATAAGACCCCAATTAAACTTCCAGAGATGAAAACTTTAGTGTCTGAGATGAAAAAATACACTGGATAGAATTAATGGCAGGTTAGAAGAAAAGATCGGTGGACTTGAAGACAGAATTGGAAACTGGCCAAAATGAAACACAAAGAGAAAAAGAGCTGAAAAACAAAACACACCAAACAAATGAAAAACCCAGAACATTCGTAAGCTATGAATTAACTTAAGTGGATTAAGTTAATTAATACCCAAAATACCTATATAGTTGGTGCCCTGGGGCAGGGGGAGTGGGGGGAGGGGGAGGTAGCAGAAAAATACATAGTTGTAGAAATAATGGCTGAAAATTGCCAATTTTAATAGTCATATCCCACAGATCTGAGAACTGAACAAACCACAAGCACATTAAACATGACTAAAACTATATTAAGGCACATCTTAATAAAATTTTGATGTAATAGTAATAAAGAAAATAATCTTATAAGTAACTAGTGAAAAAATACATGAAAAATAAGGATGCCATCATATATGTTATTGGAAATAATCCAAGGCTACATTTACAGTTGTTATCCTCAGAGAAAAGGCAAATTGCCCACTAGTCATTCTCCATACACTTTACTGGTCCTCTGATACCAATATTAGCAACTTTATTGCCAAGGTCATCGTTATTTGATTTAAAATAGATAAAATTCACAGCCAGTCTCCTAAGGCACATGTCGCTGATGAGTTCTTATATATAAAGACTATCAGGCAAACACTCTGCTCCAGCCTATTCTATGCTGAATTTTACTCCTTTCCCATGCCTCTTCCATGTACTCATTTTGCAAGTTACTTAATGAATAATAGCATTTTAAAAACTCCTTCCCAAGTTTAGAGGTGAAGAGGTCCTCTTGCACATTGCCTTGTACGTATTCCCCTTTGGATAATGTTTCTCTTGTGATTCATTCATTCCCACAGTCCCATTTCGGCTAGGTAGCTCTCAGCCTGTGCATCTGAATATGGCCAAAAAGGCAGTGGGCAAATTGTCCCAACTGATTCCATTTCCTCTACTCTGTAACTCCACACATTCAAGCTGCTCAGCCTTCAAGGTATGATTAGGCAGATACATATCTACTCTGCAAACAAGCAAACTGCAAGTTCTCATGACCAAATTAATCAGTACAGGTTGGGCATTAAAATACTGAAATCCAAACACCTGTACTGAACTCTTATACAACTCATGAGTAGAAATCTGCCAAAAGATCTCTGCATCCTCTGATGTGTGAAAGCATCAGAAGTGAATGTATGGCAAGACTTGGAACGCTAGACCCAAAGTCCTTAGAAAATAGAGTGAACTGAAAGTTTCCAGGAGTAGCAATAGGTTTTGAGCCTGTGGTGTGGACTGGGCAGTATTGTCACAACACCACACTATGAAATAGATACTTTCACTTCATTTTGTATTCGGAGAAAGAAACACAGTCAAGGTCACAATGATGGAGCAAGAATTTGAACCCCCACCAAACTGACCCTGGTGCTCACTCTCACCTACCCTTCTCTAATGTCTCAGGTGTATGATGGAGAGAAGGAACACTGGACAGGTTCAACAGGGGTTGGTGCCTCTGTGCCTCACTCATCTCATTATCCCTAATGCTGCGGGTAAATGTCACCCACTTTCCCTACTTCACAGACCACTTGCGGAATGAGCAAAGAAGTGTGTAGTTTTACAAAACCCTTTTACAAGTGTCATTCAATAGAAGGCATTGCAGAGGGGCTGGAAGGGGCTGTAGGAAGGCTTGGGGAAGATGGTTCACTGAGCAGAAGGAGCGAGTGTTGAGGACCTGGGGCTTTCTCCACTCAGGCCCTTCCCACTCGCTGCTCTTCCCAGCTGCTTCTTGGCACTCATTTCTCAGGCCAAGGCATCTTTGCCCAAAAGTAAAACAGTTCATCTGAAGTTTTCATTCCCAGGTTTACTCAAAACTAGGCTAAGTAGTCTTAGTCCATCTCTTCCATACAGAATATGAAATAGTCACAAATAAAGGAACAAAAAAATTGTTTTGTTGTCTGTAATTAAAAAACTCAAGATGACAGATTCAGAGGAACCTAAGTTAACTGGCTAAAACTTCTTAAAAACATATGCCTCTAGTTAAAAAAAAAGAGGATGCAAGAGGAAGGAAAGGGGAAGGAAAATCTCACCTTCATCATGAAATAAAGAATAATGGAAATGCCTCCTACTTTAATGGTCTCGAGAGCACTAATTTCTTTGCAAGTTTTGCCAGAGCCTTAGCTGGTCCACCTCCAGCAGTAATGTGGAGGCCATGCGAGCACATCTGTCCTGCTATAATTAAGGCTGCAGAGCAGAGCAGCAGGTGCAAACTTCTCATCCTTCAACTTGACTCTTAAGCCGCTTGTGTTCTTGTAACTTACAGTCTTAACTTGTTAAAAGTGAGATTTGGACGGTCATTAGTCTATAACAGGGACTAGGTACTGCAGACATTTTTTAAAGCAAAATTAGAAACAGCTACCTAACACATATCAGCCATTTTAAGATGTTGCCATTTCACATTTTCCAAGGGAGGGGGACTATTAATTCCACGGAGAGTAATATCCACATGAGCATGGTATTGAAGCCAGATTGGGAGACTTCTTTTCCGTTAAGAGAAAAAGCCTCTCAGAAAGAGCTTCAGTTCTCTGACTCAATCCTCTCTCAATGTAATTTAGGCACCTAGATTCCCTGATGCAAAGGGCTTACCAACACCAAGTTTTGTCTTATTTTCTTGTTAAAAATTTATCTGTAGAAGAATTTGAATTGTAGGCACCTTCCCCTCAAAAGCTGAAGCAGCAAAACCTCTCTGTGAAACTGGTTCCATTTAAAACATCTCAATGTGACCTTAAAATAATTATAGCTTAGAAAGGCAGATATGGCTTTAGTTCTGAACAATTCTTACCCTGTGCCTTTTCATGGTGTGGGAGAGAAATCTGTGACTGTGTGCCAAGAAGACATACTGAGACAGAAAGCAACTGCTTCTTTAGGAACACCCAAAAGAAGGGTCCAATGCCTGGATAAAGATCTGGGTTACAGATGGTGACAGTACCTGTTGGGCACAAAGGTTGCAGCACTGTCCAGAGAATCAGCGTTCCTCTCTGAACATTTGGGATGCTCATGCCAGTTGTAGAACCCTGGGATTCTGAGTGAATAGTCACTGCTTCTTGAATATCTGCTGCAGGAACTGAGAAGAAATATTTGGTTGACAATGGCTATCTAGGGCCTATAGAAAAGGGTTTCAGAGTTTAACTCTTGACAAAGAAACAATCCCTGTTGACCAAAGGCAGATGATACACACCTTGCAGGGACATGGCCAGCCTATGATGTCATCCAAGCCCAGCTGCTAGAGCTTTGCAAATTACTTCTTAGTTGTGGTGATAAATTAGAGATGAATGAAAGGGCTTTGGGCTGCATCTTGGATGTGAGTCCTCATTAATGAATTAAAGACATTTTAAGTCCTCATTAATGAATTAAAGACATTATAATACAGGGTTTATTTTATTTTTTTAATAATAAGACTGAACTGTCTCTCGCATGCGGGAATTACTAATGCTACTGCTATTGTCCAGACTATGCGTGTCCCAAATTCTACTCTAAAAGATATACAGAAAAGCCCTTTGGGAGACCAGGCAAATGTAATCAATCATCCCTTAATTTAACTTACTGTTTTCATCCTTGAGATACAAACACTAGATCCAGTTCCCAGTTCAGCAAAGTTGAACCTACCTCTCTCCTGGCCACCAGCAAAGCCTCTTTGCTTCAGTTGTGCCAAGTGCATAAAAATTTCACGTAAACATTAAAAGTTTATATGAATTAAAAATATAGTTGAGTTGGGCATGGTGATATACCCTCGTAATCTCAGCTACTGTGGAGGCTGAGGCAGGAGGATCTCTAGTTCAAGGCCAGCTTGGGCAACATGTAGTGAGATCCCTTCTCAAAAAAAAAAAAAAAATCCAGCTGTTACTAGGGCTCTTTGGAGCCAAGAATTCTCTAAGAAGACAGGCTTACATCTTCCTTGGACCAATGAAAATGTGTCATGGCCCAAACTTCTGGCACTTTTGAGTGCTAGGAGATGCAAAACAAAGAAAAAACCAGTTTATACACATGCTTGTGTAATCTCAGCAATAGTACTCCCTGCACATAAAACCTCAAGATATTGTTCAAATTTACACTCCACCAGCTGTCAACCCCCTGCTCTCTCACACACACACACTTATGTGAGCATACACATGCATACACACACATACACATACACACACATACATACACAATCTGGGAACAGAGTCAAGAACTTTTGCTCATATTTTTTTAATGTATCACAATGAGCAGGAAACATACTTGATGAAATATTTCCAAAGGAGTATATTCAATTACCATCTACAATCAACTTAACTATGACAACAAAGTTTTTGTGACAAATTTCTTTTTTTCAGTTTGAAAGTTCCATGTGGTTCTGTTTGTTAGTCTCCATGTATTTTGGTACAGTTCAAGATCAGCATTGTTACAGTAACAAAAAAGCTAACAAGACTACATTATAGAAAAACACCAAGAACATCATTTTTGGTTTCACTTGCTCTATTTTTTTTTTTGTTTTTGTTTTTTTTTTTTTGTTTTGTTTTTGTTTTTTTGTACATTGCAAAGGCTGTTCATATACCTCTTCACCTCAGGGTCATGTTCATTTAAGCTTTCTTTCCTACCCAAACTTGCCCCCCTCCCCCCTGAAGAAAGTAAACAAACAAACAAAAAAACTAGTCAAAGCTTTGTTTCACAGTGGGCAGTATCTCAGCGCCAACAAACAACCAACTCAATTTATGCTTCTATTTAAAATGTTTTAATTTAATTTATTATTTAAAAAAAATATATGTCCATGAACATCAAGTGCACTGGCTTGGGTCACTGCCTCTCTCTCCTGCAACTTCCTGCCATGCCTGAAAAACTCAGGTTTACACATGCCGTCTGTTTTACTTTATTTTCAATTGTGTAAAACTTTGGCCACATTCATCTCTTTAAATAGCATTTAATTAAAAAAAAAAAACTTCCTAGACATATTAACTCTTCTGTGTGTGTGTGTATATATATATATTGTGTATGTGTGTATTTTCCTTTTAAGTTTCTTTTTGGAAGGATGGAGAAAGGATGGATGAAATCACTCCCATTCTGTGCATCAAGAGCTGGTGCTATGACCCAATGTGTCTGGCACCAACCCACACTGTGGAGTATTTGAGAAAAACCAAAAACAAACAACAAAAACAAACAAACAAACAAAAAAAAAACCAACCAACAACAACCAAAAAGCCAAGTGCCAATGGAGATTACGAACTAATTTAAAAAGTGAGTTTGGATATCCTACGCAGCTACCCACTATACAGCAGACAGGAATAGATTCCCCGAGTGAGATGGATCCAAACAGTTGAGCGTTGTAGTGAATTCATGCTTTGTAAATGCTACAGGTCATAGCCACTGATGATGTCAGCCCACAAACATGTGACCAGCTCATGTTTGACTTCGACTTTGCACCCTCATTGACTGCTTTGCTACTTCTGGGTTAGTGCTGAGAATTACTTCTGCTTTGAATGAACATACATGTGGGCGGTACAGTTGTAGAGGAAAGCATTAAGTGTGCAACCCACTCCAGGTTGAAACAATCATATACCCCTCAGAGGAATACTGGTGGGTGGAAGCATGCTTAGCCAATCTACCCAACCACCTTATTTGTTGCCAAACACACCCACAGGTCAAGGCATGGCATAACAAAACAATGACAGTCACTCTGCCTCACAGAGGGAGGATGGCATAGTAGGAAAAAAAAAACCCACAAAAACCAAAAAACCCAACCACCCAAAATTAAAACCATTAGGGAAGGGGTAGCAAAATTACAAAGGAAGTTAAAGTTGAGGGGGGAGGGAAAGGGACAGAAATTGCACTATTACCAAGCAATATCATTTTTAAAAACAGTTTTTAGAGAAAACCTAGCAGAATTTGACAGGTAAAGCTAGTGTTAATTGTTAACTGGTGTCACATAAAGAACCAAAAACAAAAACAATTTTTTTTCTATGATACAGACACAGAGTAACATACAACAGTTAAATGGCAAAAAATATATATATATATATTTCATAGAGTTACAAACAAGATAAAATAATGAAAAAACAACGAAAAAACTGTACAACTTTAAAATTTAAAAATGTTCATCTCAAACACAGGGAGAAATACAAGAATTCTTGTTAAAGGAAATAGCTTGTTAAAACAGTAAATGTTTTGCATACTTGTTTTTGACACCTTATGCTACAACTGGATACTGATATGAATAGTTACGATGGTATTCTTTAGAATTTCTACTTAAAAAAATTAAAAAGGAATTTGCACTGTGCATCAGCCTAGTTAGAAGTATGTACAACAGTTCAGATCTACTCTTTCATTTAACTAAAAACAAATTCATAAAAATAGTCCCGGCTAAAAAAGAAAAAAAGAAAAAAGAAATCCATTTTCAGATCTTGGAATGCTCCAGTCTTTTGCAAAGTCGATGAGAGGCTTCAGCACTGGGGAAAGAAGCCTGAAAGGTGACCAATGGAACCTGTATTCACAGTCTTCAAAGTTCCCTTTTGAAACATAAGGAGGAGAATGAAGGGGAAAAGGACTTCACACTTTGGGGGCAAGGGGGAGATTGTGTCTGTTGATGTTTGGCTACGAAAGTGAAACAGCAAAGCATCTATTTGTCTCCAAAATCTACGTTTTAGCAGCACAAAGTTTTCCTTTCAAAGTTCAGACCGTTTTCAAGATTAAAAAAGGGGATGTGTAGCATTGTGTTGTGTTACAAGAATGTGGATACTAACATAAACACAGGTGCCTCACGTACGGTTTCCTCTTCTGCTCTCTGTACATTGCTATCTGCTTCTTTGTTGGCTGCGCTCTGGAACACTCGCCGCTCAGACTGCCTAACACAAGGACAAAACTTTGAAGTAAAAAATGTGTCTTTTGGTATATGGAATTGTCATTAACAGTTGCCTCTCTGCTTGCAGAAGAGGCACCTAACAACCTGGGAATCTTTTGTTTTACTCTTTCTTTTATTAAACTAAGTCTTGTTTGTTTAAATCAGAAACAAATTCTCAAGTAACAAGAACCCTTTCCCTCTTTTCTGCATCAGCAGTGAAAGGGTGTGTCTTTGGATTTTATTTAAAGCATGAAATTTCTTTTTCTGAGAGAGGAAAGAAAAAACACAAATACAAAACCAAAAACCAAACCCCTAACCAAAACTTTTCTTTTCTTTTCTTTTTTTTTTAATTAAAAAAGTACACAACCCAATTACACAAACTGAAACAAATGCCTTAGTTTAGGAAAAGAATATTTGAAGCATCTACCAAACAAGGAGGAAAAGAAGGGGGTACAAGAGAAAAGCCAAAGGAAGGATAAATAAAAAATAAATGTACAAGGCTACAGACAAAGGTAACTAGAATTATATGCCTTTAAAAAGTTTCAACTCCCCAACCAAAAATAATCTGTGAGGATCCTAATGACCCCTAGAATCCTTTGAAATTCTTTCTTTAGTTTTATAAAATAATTCTGCAGCTACCCTCTAAGAAATGAAGGCAGCTACCTTAAGTGGGAGATTATAGGATGGGAGTTGGGAGGAGGAAAGACAAAAGTGGAGTTAAGGGACAAAGGGGAGAAAAGCTTAGGCGAATCAACGGATTGTAATCTATCTGCTAGGGATGAACAAGACGACATCAAATGAGGAGCTGTCAGCTGGACCATACAAAAAGCTAAATGTACACAAAAGGTTTTTTCCTTTTAAATCTACCATACTGCTTCAGTTCATTTCCAATGCAACAATCTACTCAACACCAAAAATGGTCATATCTATCATAAATACAGAAAGTCAGTTTTTTAAAACTTATTTTTTAAGCTACAAGTCCTCAACACTCTTTGTGTGTGTGGGTTTTTTTTTTTGTTTGTTTTTCGTTTTTTTTCTGAAAGTGGGAGTGCTTAACTTTTCCCCTTGAAATTGGCTTCAGCAGAAAAGCTATCCTTAAAAATCCCCAGAAAGCTAAAGCAGTTCACATTGTTTTTCTCAAATACTTTCTGCCCGTTTTTAAATTAACAAAACAAAACAAAAACAAAACAAAATCTTTTCTGGAACCAAAAAAAAAAAAAAAAAAAAAAAACTGAAAAAATAATATATATAAAACAATGATTCTGAAAACAGAACAAAGTGTGAGCGATTGACCTGAGAATAAAAAGACATTACATTTCTTTTTTTCTTTTTAGCAAGCCATTGGTATCTGAATGCTAAGATAGCAAGAAATCTAAAACTGCAACAAGGTGGACTGCTTTCCCATACAGTGCATGCCGGGCTCCTCTGTGCTCTCAAGGTGGGGCGTTTATTGAAAAGGGGCAAATATACAAGGGGTTTAAGCTCCAAAGACATAGGGGAGGCCCTGCGGACTTCTGTTTCCCAGACCAATAGTACCTTCAAAAGGACACAATGGAACAGGGTTAGGGGTGTTTTTGTTTTTAATATTAAAAGAAAAAAGACAAGAATGTAAAATCACCGGCATAGATAGGTATATGGGAAAACAACCCACGCTTTTTCTTTTTTTTCCTTTTTTTTGTTTTTTTTTTTTGTGTGTTTTTTTGTTTTTTTGGTTAGAAGCTTTGGAATTGCAGTCAGTCTATTTTTGAAATTGGTTTGTTATTAATTTTTTTATTTAAATTCATTTGTTTGTATTGTTCATCTTCAAAGCTTACAATCTGAAGGTGTCCGTTCCTACACTGGTCAGACCACTGTCCTTGGGGCAGCTGGGGTCTTTGGGACCCTCCACCGGGCTCGCCGGTCCGTCGGACTTTTGGCTGAGATCCGTGTCAGACTCCTCCGAATAGTCGTCTGTTGGCATCGAGGGCTGAACCCCTGAGGTGCTGCATGAACTTGAGGTAACCGTTGAAGATGAGGAGAGAGGAGGAAAAGAAGGGGGCTTCGCGGCCGAAGCCCGGGCGACCACCGGCGGCCAAGCCTTCCTGGGGGCGTGGGGGGAAGCGGGCGGGGGCGCGGGGGCCGACGGGGGCGGGGGGCTGTCGTTTGAGTGAGCGGCAGACTGCGAGGTAGATGCGGTGCTAGGATCGGGGAAGCAGGCAGAGTGAGGTAATAAACTAGGGTGCTCTTTGGCGTTTCTTGCTGCTCTCGTGATTGTTCTGTGTTTGTGCAAGGCCGACTCGAGATGTTGACTCAGAGCTTCCTCCCCACAGAGCGCGCTCTCGCACGCCAGGCAGTGGTACGAGCCGCCGCCGCCGCCACCGCCGCCGCCGCCACCGCCACCGCCACCGCTCCCGGTGGGGACGTGAAGCACCATCTCTTGCAGGTTCACCACAGACTGGCCGAAGAAGCAGAGGGACTTCAGGTGGCTCCTCGCCGCCTCCTCGTCGCCGAAGCCCGCCTGGCACTTGCGGCAGACCAACTTGTACTGCACCTTTGGAACAATGAAGGGGTCGTAGAGGGAGTCCGCACTTTTGCTTTCTGCTTCTGGCTCTTCGGGGGGTTTCGGCAGGAGGGGGGACACCTCGCGGGGGGCATTTTTCTGCTCTTCTGGTTTGGGGGATTCTTTGGCAGGGTCTTTGTCTGGGGAAGCAGCCCCCTGGGGGACTGGGGTTTGGCTTGCTTTGGGCTGCTGCTGCTGCTGCTGCTGCTGCACTTTTTGCTGCTGCTGCTGCTGCTGCTGCTGCAGTTGCCGCTGCTGCTGCTGCTGGATCACCTCCTGCAGACTCTGCTGGTATTGCTGGTACTGCTGCAGTAGGGAGCCCGGGGACAGCCCCATCAGGGCCTGCGACAGCGCAGGGCTGTAGGGGAACAGGCCTTCCATGCCATACATAGGCTGCAGGTACCCGCTCTGCAGGGCGCCAGGGATCTGGGGGGCGTAATAAGGAGAAAAGCCTGGTACAAAGTAAGGAAGGAACTGGCTCGTGAGCAGTGCTGTGGGGTCTGAAGTCAAGGCTGCCTGCAGGGCCTGCAGCTGAGCAGGGTCCACTGCATACTCCATGGCGGGCATCGGGGCAGAGAGCGTGGCTGCAGCAGCCGTGGGCGCCTCTCCCTTCTCCTTCTTGGGGGCAGGCAGGGGTTCACCTTTCCCTTTGTGTGCCTTCTCCTTCTCCTTTACTTTCTCACTGTCTTTGTCCTTGCGTTGCTGCTGCGGTGGGAGCTGTGGGGTGGGTGGCAGCTGGGCTGCTGGCGGCGGGGGAGGCTGCTGCACCTGTGGCTGCTGCTGCTGGGGTTGGGGGGGTTGCTGAGGGGCCATCGCCATGGTGGCTTGTGCTGGGGTCGGGGAGCTCAGCGATGCTGAGGACGGTTTATTTGGTAATCCAGATGTGGGGAGGCCAGGGGAAGGAACTGTTGTGCTGGGCAGACCCATCAAGTTCGGTTTAGGAGACGTTAAAGCTAAAAGGAACGGAGACAGAAAGAGAAATAACCAGTCAGTCCAGAGAGGCAAGGCTGAAGCTCAAGACATTTACCTGTGTCACTGGCACAATCTGAGATGTCAAGGTTTCAGCCTGAAAGATCCTCTCAAAACCAACATTTTCAACAGAATTGTCCCACCAGGCCCAGGATTGGATAGCTGAGCATTTTGATCAGGACCCAGTCCTTTTGATCAGCTCCCGTCCTTCCCCTTTCAGCTAAACAACTTGCAACACCTTCCTACCCAGCATACCACACCCATTAGCTGACACTATCCTTGCCATGCACTCCCAGATACCATTCACTCTGCCCAGTGCAATTAGTCTGGAGGCCCCCAAACTAGCTGTTTCCAGCTGGGGCTCATTTGAACCAGGGGCTTTCATCAAAGCACTACAGAAATAGTACAGCCACCAGGCTCCACCAGAAGTTGTCTGGAGAAGGGAGCCAAAGCAAGAATCCTGGCAAAGACCCAAGGCCACAGCAAACAAAACAGGCTCTATACATATCCTTCCTCTCTGACCTCCATTGCTGCAACTGAATGGGTGCTTTAGGAGGCCAGAGAAGAGAACCATAGGAGTGTGGAGGAGGGGCCTGGGAAGAAATAAACAAACCCACTCAGGGAAAACTGCTCCAGTGCCTTGGCTCTGCTGATGTGCTCCAAGTCTGCTGAATAAGACTACCACCTCTTCCTGCCCCTGTGTGAAGGAAAGCTCAGTGGGGATTCAGGTGCTTGAGGAACCAGTCACAGAAAGAGAAAAGCAGCATCGGAAATAGAAGAAAGTACTGACACTGTCAATTCCCAAGACATCATGGCCAACCCCTGACTACTGTTTATGGGTCTCAGAGGTCTCTAACCCTGTTGGCAGGGACCCACCATCAATCATGCTCAGTCCTCACCATCTACGCTCTGCAAAGAAAGCCTTCACCCAGCCCAGGGCCTCAGTCCTCCTCAACACACACCTGTCACCTAGAGGGTGTGTTTGGTTCCAGGGTGATAGGAGGAGGGCATTGTGGCTGATGGTACACCAAGCCTCAGGCATGTTCAGACAGCTGGGTCATAAGGAAAGGCAGCAAGGGGGCAGTGTGCTAGCGGAAGAAACGCTGAGAACAGGCAGGTTGTGGAGTCCAGAGTGCACAGGGAGTGGTCCTCAGAACTCTCCAGATTCATCAGTCTGCACTGCTGCACGGCACACACCCCTTCGTGGATTTTTCACAGCATAATATAAAATTTTACGCAAGAATGTAAAATTTAAAAATCTTACAGCTCATTAATATTTAATTGGGACCACTTGCCAGAAAGCTGGGGCAATAGTTCCACAGCATGACACTCTTCGTGAGAAACAAAACAAAACAAACCACTTGCAGCCTAGACCTGGGTGAAGACTATGGTGATATCCAGCAGGAGTGGTACAATGTCCCCTTGACTATCAAAACCCTTAGGTTTCAGATGAAAATAAGGTTGCTTCAAGTCACCAATCCCAGGAAAACATCTGCTAACACTGGATAGAAGAAGGAAGCTTCCCTCAGCATCACATAATGGACTCTTCCAAAACAGCAGAAAGGGAATGCTGAGAGTAACTCATCCAATTTCCTCAATGCATACAAGCAACTGAAACCAGAGAAGTGACTGATTGATTGTACCAGAAAAATTCAAATGCTTGATGGTTAAATTGGCATAAATGAGGCAGAGACAGAAGGGATTATGAATTCTAAATCTGGAACAAGGCTCTTTCTGTCTACCACTAAGCAACGGGCCCACTCCATATTTCAGGTTTGAGGCCAGAGCCAAAAGATCTGTGGGGCAAAGAGGGAATGTCCACAGATCCCCCATTCTCAGGGCTTTAGGCCTTTGAGACAAAGATTCAGGTCAGGAGGCCTTAAATCGACTTTGTATGTGTTCAACCAATTGTCTATGAGGGAGACTCAAAATTTAAGAAACATTTCCTAACCCCTGCTATTTGCCAAGCTTGCACTAGTCAATGCACCTTCACAAAAATTCTTGGTTTTCGGTAAGATCACAACCAAGCAAGGTGCTTCACCACTCTGAGTCTTACTCATGTACCTCTGGAGTCAGACTGACCCAGTGTGGATTATGGCTGACGCACACTGGCTGTGCAACCTTGGATCCACTAACTGACCTCTTGGAACCCCAGCTTTCCACAATAGATGGTTCTGGAGATCAAATGAAAGGCCATGTACAAAGAGCTTAGCATTGGGCCTGACATACACTAATTGCTTAATAAACACAAGTTCTTTCCCTCCCATTCCAGATCAGTGCTCTTGAGCTGTGGTACAAGCAGGTGCTGGCAACTGGGGCACATCTGGCTACCCTGACTGATTAAAAGCACAGCTTTCTATCTTGAGTCTACTCAAGCGGTCAGAACCTAAGTAGCACTAAATGTATACCTGTTGACTGACTGGCTCATATTGAGTGTTGTGGAAGGAGCACATAGCACTGGGAGCCCGGAGGCCTGGGTGGGAGCTCTGGCTCCTACCCTAGCTTGCTGAATGGTCTTGACCTCTCTGGGCCTCAGTTTTCTCATCTGTAAAACAAGGGGAATACATCAGACATTCTGGTTCTACTTTTTTTTCCCACATTTTTATGATACGCTGGGCCTTCCTAAGCCCCTGGGCTACAACGATAATTCAGTGCCTGGAACTTTCCATAGCTTGTTTCCTGGCTTCTGTCTGGCAGGCTTAGCAGCATTCTGTGGTGTTACTTGCCAATACACATATGCAATGACTGCTGTGTCTCAATGCTTTCCTTTCTTGTTCTCTTTGGATAAGAAACTGGGACCAGGAATTCAGTACTTTCTTTGTCCTGGTAAAAATGGCCAAAACTGCAAAACTTGGAGTTTATTTGGTCAGAAACTAGGGCTGCAGAGCAGCTTTAACCCCTGGGAATGGGCACATTTTGAAGACAAGGAAGCCCTCTGAGGAGCTCTCCTTGGTTCAGCATGTACTGGTCAGTGTAGGCTGTTGTGGGTGGGGTGGGGGGGCCAAATCCTCCCAGGACCTTGGAGGGGAGGGTCCAATTTGGGAAAGACAGCTGGATCAGGGAAGATGGGTGAGGACAGAGGAGGACAAACAAGAGGTATGTAGGAAGACCTGCAAACTTCCCGTTGTGAATACAGAAGCCAGTATTTATGATTGCCAATGGGTGGGAGGGAGGAAAGGGAAAAGGAATGAAGGGGTGACTGAGGATGTCTACAGTGTGAATTAGTACCTCTATCTGGAAGACTGACATGGCCATGTCAAAACTAAGAACCCCAAGGCCAAGTACAAGATTCCTGGTCAGTACTTTCAAGTGGAAAGGCAATCTCCTTAGAAACTAGCCCGGCTACTGTTGCTCTGGCTAGAAGAGAACCCAAACAGTAATGAAGAGCCACCACAGAAGAGCGTCTTCCTGATAGCAGATCTATCATAGGAGTTCTCTAAAAAAAGATAGCAGGGACCCCAGGTGAGGGCAAAGAGTAAATTGTCCTGGACCAGTTTCCATAGGGTACCAGCTAGGACTAAATGTCTTATATTTGCAACAACTATCTAGATGAGACTGGCCATTTCATAGACCCAAATGGAAGGGTCTATGATGGAAACCTCTTGAAAATTCCCTAGGAATCAGTATGTCAAGTTCTTTCCTATAGCACACACGCTGGTTGTGCTGCCGAACACAGGGCATAAGTGTGGTTTCCGAGGAGACTGTTCTAACCAGGAGCTCCCATCCCTAGACTTGATTAGAAAGGCCAAGAACCCATGTACACACTGGCACTGGGATGGCGCAATAGAGGGAAATATATTCTTGCTGCTTTCAAAGAAGCAGAAAGGGAAGCTTCCTGTTTGCCCATACTCAGGAGGATTTGGCATGGTCACCACACAACAAAACACTAACTGAGCTTTAATGCTGAAGAGAATCACCTAGAACAGAACCCACCTGTGTTGGATGGAGTAAAGCCTGGCAAGGAGGGGCTGTTGAGGCCGGGGAGCAACACGGGAGGAATGCCCTGGAGCGCTGGATACGCTGTAGGAAGGTTAAGAGCCTGGAGAGGGGCATTGTCAAACATCCCCTGCTGCTGAGCTGCCAGTCCAAGGACCTCATTGGCCTTTTTAATCCGGTCCAACTCTTGTTGAGCCATCAACTGACGTACAGTGGCTGGGTCAAAGTATTCTTTCTCCTTGTCCAACTGGCTTCCAATGGTGTCTTTGACTTTGGAGATGTGCTGTTGGGAAAAGATATGGTCACGTACAGACAGCCGAGCGCTGTACTTGATGCCACACAAAGTGCACTCCGTTTTGGGTCCCTCGTAACTTGTTTGGTTTATACCAAAATGCTTGGCCATGCTTAACTTGGACTTCTTTTCTTTTGCCCGGGCGTTCTGGAACCAGACCTGAACAACTCTCTTTGGCAGTCCAATGTCATTGCCCAGGACCTCACACTCTAGCATAGTGGGTGTCCTATAGTCATTAAAGCATGACTTGAGGACCTTCAGCTGCAAATTGGTCATCTGAGTGCGAAAACGTTTCTGCCCAGGCCGATCCCCGCTGTCACCAGATTTGCCTGCGGAACCACTCACACCAGGACTCGGGGAGCAGGGGTCCGCAAGGCTTGAGGTTTCACTGTAGTCCACTGTACCTTCGTTGTCATATTCTTTGCTATAAAAGCTCGGGGCTGGGCTGACCAGACCAGATGACAACCGATCTTCATACTCAGACATTGCCATCATGGCTGCTTTGGTCAGCCCCTCACTGGGTGCAGAAGATGATTTGGTTTCAGTTGCTATTCCCGTCGCACTGTCATTATCCGCATTGCCCTCGTCTCCTGTTGTGGTGTCGGTGATTGCCGTGTTGACAGAGGAACAGTCATCGTTGTCCAGCTTAGTTTGGTCAAAGTTTAGATTAACTGAGGACATGGAGGGGCTTTCAAAGTCTTCGATCCCCTCCACCTTGATGGAGGAAGGGCTGAGAAGTGTTCTGGGAGACAGCTCCATGGTTTTACTCACAGGTGAGAGGGGGACACCCTGGCCATCACTACTGCTTGGGGGTAGGTGCGAAAAGCTAGTTCCATCAAAAATATCTCCTTTCATCTGGAGTCCCCCGTCACAGTCTAAGAGCATCGCAGACAGAGTTAGGTTGTAGCCAGCTCTCTTGGCTTCATGCCAGTGGCGGGACCGGATATGAGCCTCGAGGGCAGTCTTGGCTTTGAAGAGCGCTCTGCAAAAAGGGCATCGTCTGTGGGCCTGGGCTGGGCCCACAGCCCGGAACTGTCCTTTCCTTTCCCGAGCTCGGGTGTTCTGAAACCAGACCTGCACCACGCGTTTCTTCAAGCCCACCTCGTGTGCGATGTGATCCAACATCTTTCGAGTTGGATTGGAGTCCAGCAGATACTTTTGGTAAAGAATTTCCAGCTGTTCCGGCGTAATGGTCGTCCTCAAACGCTTGTCCCTCTGCGGCTCCTCCCCTCCCGTCCCACTGTCATTCTCTCCGGGGCTCCCGCTGGCCTTTTCCTCCAGCTTCCTCTTGAGAGTGTTCATGGTGGAGGTGGGCGTGGAAGGAGAGGTGGCCGAGCTGGCGGGGATCTGAGGAATGGCCCCCGAGAGCAGCTGGCTGGCCAGGAGTGGGTTGCTGGGATCAAACAGCATGAAAGGCATGTCCAGTGACCTGTCCAAAAACTGAGGGTGGATGAACTGGTTCTGCGCACTCAGGAAGTGAAGCTGCTGATGCTCCTGCCAGTGCTCAAATGATGGGAAGGCCAGCTTGCACTGGTCGCACTGGTAGGGGATTAGCTGAGGAGGTAGGTTTGCCAGCTGTTGAGGAGTTGACGTGTGGAGGGGCTTGAGGGGCAGGTGGGAGAGCTGAGAAGGACTGGGGCTCGACTGGGGCAGGGGACACTGAGGAGGGGGCGCCTGTGGAGGAGGCTGTGGCAGGGAGGGCGGGGCAGCCAGCTGTGGGAGCTTTGGCTGGGGTGCACTGGTCTTCTGCTCCGGCTGGTCTTGCTGCTGCAGCTCTGCCTTTGGTTGTCCTTGCTTTTCTTGGGTTTGGTTCGGCTGTGCACTGGGAGGGTCAGCCTGCTTTGGTTTCTCATCACTCGCCTCTGCTTTTGAACTGAAGGTGGCCAGGTCGTCGGCCTCCGCTGTAAGCTGCAGGAAAGCAGAGGGAGCCGTATTGGCCGATGGTGCGGGGGCACTGTAAGCCTGCGAGGGCATCGGGGTGCTGCAGGAGGAGCTGGTGGGGGTGAGGATTTCCATGGCATCCATGGAGTCCTCGTTTTGGCTATCATCCTGCCCCTCCTCGTCCTCGTCCTTGTAACACAGCTTCTTCTGGTGCTTGATGAGATCAAAGATGCGCTGGAACACCAGGCTACATTTCTTGCACTGGTAGTTCAGGTTGCTTGTTCGGATGTATCTATCATTTGTAAGCTCTCGCCGCTCTCCGTCTTTGCCCTCTCCCTGATTCTCATAATTTTTCCTGGCCTTCTGTCGGGCATTCTGAAACCACACCACAATGACTCGGGTTGGAAGGTTCAGTAAATTAGAGAGTTGCTCAAATTCATCATCCTTTGGGTAAGCATTGGCATCAAAGAAGTCCTGGAGGACTCTCAGCTGGTAGTCAGTAAACCTTGTTCTGGAAGACCTCTTGCTACCCCAGTACTCCTGCTTCTGAGGTTCTGGGGAAGGAGGCCTGGAGTCGATCTTGAGCTCCTCCAGGCTGGTGATGGGAGGATTGCTGAAGTTGTAAGGGGAGTCCTTGTTGCGCTGCCGCTCTTTGAAGAGGGTGTTCCTGAACCAGTGCTTGATCACTTTCTGGGGCAACCCAGACTTGTCTGCCATCTCTTTGATCTGCTCCTCACTGGGGGAGTTGTTGATGTCAAAATACTGCCGCAGCACTCGGAGCTGGTCATCGGTGATCCTGGTGCGAGGCCTCTTGTTCTGTTGCTGGAGCAGGGTTGGATTGAGCTGGTGCTGGTACAACTGGGCCAGGTCTGCGGGCAGAGGTTCCACAGGGCCAAGTTGAGGGGGCAGCTGAGCTGGCAGGGTCTGCAGTGGCATGGTCTGCATCATCAGCGGCGAGAAGATGGGCAACTCCATCGGCATGGAGAGCTGGGTGAGCGGCACCGAGGGCTGGGCCGGGGCGATGGTGGGCGAGGTGATGGGTGGGGCTGACGCCGGGATGGCAGGCGTGGAGGCTGGCTGTGGGGGTGCTGCAGGAAGAGGGGGCGGAGGGGGCGGAGGGGGCGGGGGCGGGGGCTCTGGGGTCTGGGGCCTCAGAGGGTACAGTTTATCATAGTGCTCTCTGTACTGTTTGGCAAACCTCTCCAGCTGCTTAAAGGGGAAGTAATTCTGATGAACATGCTCTTGATGACTCTTTAAAATCAAGATGTTGGAAAACAGCTTGCCGCAGGAGTCGCACTCAAGCTTCTCCAGGTTCTCTCCCTGCTCCGTCTTCCCGGTCTTCTTCTGCACCTTCTGCTTGTTCTCGTTGTACTGAATGACCAGCTCAAAGCCGAAGTTCTCCAGCAAGGCCTTGGTGGCGTTCCCTCTGGCATCGGAGGCGATGCGTGGAGGAAGCATAGAAGGCTCAGAACCGCCCCCTGGTGCCAGCTCTTTCTTCTCTTTGGCCTTCAAGGCATCTGGCAGCAGCTCCTTCGGTCCTGCGATGCCTTCTCCCCCTTCAGCACCCTCCCTCTCTCTCTGGCTCTCTTTTTCCTTGTCTTTGATGACCAATTTGTTTTTCTTTTCGGGGAGCTGGCTTGGCTGAAGGAGGGCAGAGTGACTCTGGGACAGAAGTTGATTTTGCTGTTGCTGCTGCTGCTGCTGCAGGATCTGCTGGTGGCTCTGCTGTGGGATCTGAACCTGAGCCTTCAGATCTTCCAGCAGGCCTGGCCCGGTCCCTGTCAGCGTCAGTGCCCCGCTCGTCACTGGCAAGCTCACCTCGGGGTTGAGCTGGAACTCAGCGCTGGGGATGTAGAAAGGGAAGAGGAGGTGCTGCTGCTGCTGCAGCTGGAGCAGGGTCTCAGTGGTCATGGGGAAATGAGGCAGGAGGGTGGGGTTAAACAGCTGGGACTGGATCAGGGCAGCCTGCTGCTGCAGTTCCTGCTGCAAGTGAGCCTGAACTTGAGCCTGGGCCTGGGCCAGTGTCTGAGCTTGTTGTTGTTGCTGCTGCTGTTGCTGCTGCTGCTGCTGTTGCTGCTGCTGCTGTTGTTGCTGCTGCCTGGATGCGATCATGTCTGCCAGCTTCTTCCGATTGGCCTCCTTGGGCTCTGAAGGGGAAGCAATGTTGGCACCGATGGGATTCCCTAGGGGCAGCATCCCAACACTCTCAGCGGGCACTTGGCTCAGTAAGCCGGAGCTCGGAGTGATGCTGGCACTACTTGGATTGGTGGTGGTAAAGGTGTTACTACTGCCACTGGTGCTCACGGGACTTGGTATGGAGGAACTCAGTGGGACACTGCCACTGTTCCCAGTCCCATTGCTGCTACCACTTGCAGCCTCCAGCTTGGCTGCTCGGGCTTTGGTTTGATGCAGCACAGACCTCATGTGGATCTCCAGAGTGGAACTCTGGCTATAGGCCACATTACAAGTGTTACACTTAAAAGGTTTGTTGTCTGGGCTGCTGGTGGGTTCTGGTTGACCAGTTGCTGATTCTTGAAGGGCTCTCTTTAACTTGTGCAGGTGGGAGACAGAATTGTAATGCACCAGCAGTATGTTCTTTTGAGTGAAAGATTCCTTACAGACGGTGCACTTGTAAGGGCGAGAAGGGTCTAGAAACTTTTCCATAGTAAAGTTGGGGCCTTTTCTGAAAGGTAGAGCTCTCTTTGGCTCTGAGCCTGAATCTTCTTGTACCGACCCAGAGTCACTGCCCGTGGGGCTCTGTTTATCTTCCAAGTCACTTTCTTCTTCCTTGTCTTCTTCAACAATTATGGTGTGGTCTTCAGACAGGGTGGGGTCTCCCATTGCCAGAAGGTCCCCATTGGCCAGAAGGCCACCATAAAGTTGTTGAATGTCGGCCTCACTCAACTCCAGGTGGCTTGTCTCAAGGTGTTTTTTCAGAGCCTGGAATGTTCGAAAACTGCGCTGACAGAGACAGCACATGGTGGCGGCTCGGATCACATGGTACTGAGAATGCAGCTGCAACTTTTCAATGGTCTTGAAAGCCAGGCTGCACTGGTTGCAGCGGTACTTGTACACGTGGCGATCTGACACAGGCAGCTGGGGCCTCTTGGCATGTACCTCGTTGAAATGTGTCTGGAGGGCAGCTGAAGTCTTGAAAACCTGGTTACACCCCTTCTTCCAGCAGAGGAAGCCCGAGTCTTCTCTCACAGATCCTGGGTCAGCAGAAGAAGGTTTCAAATCTCCGCTGTGCTCTGTGCTTGCAGTTGGCAAGATGTTCTTTCCCAGATCCTCTGAAGTTTCTGCAAAAAAACATCAAGCCCAAAGATAAAGAAGGTCTTGTTTCCAGGATGGCACCCAGAGCAGTCTACTTAGGCAGGCTTCATGAAGTGCCCAACCTGATCAATAGAATCTGCACAGGGCTGATGGAGTGCATATTAAAAACAGGGCACACAGGAACAGAGATGAATAGAAGGATACAAAAGTTTCCATTCATAATGAGCCTATGTCTTGTCACAGAACTAACAGTCTTCTAAATAATATTTAACTGCTTGACTCAGAATCCAGTTTCTCAAGAATGAGTCTGAAGGTTACTGATCTTGGGGTGCCTATTTATGTTAACCTTTTATGATATAAGAATTTAGCATAGCATATATGAATTAATGCTGTTCTAAGTTGTGGGGAATTTATAATAACTGTTGTCCATTATAAAGAATTTTGGATTTTACTTTTAGGCCTTTAATTACTTGTTGTGACTTTTTGACTATCATCTCTATTCAATAAGCAATGAACACTGATGTGGCAAATTATTAAAATACATTAAATCTTCTTCTACAATGAGACCATCGTACTCATAATTACCCCAACCCCTTTCAGATCATCTGTCCACTGTCTAATAAGAAAAACCACAAGGGAGAAGCCCAGGCACAGCGTGGCTGAACTCTTTTTAACTTAAACCTTAGATGGCTAGAAGAGGTCAAAGATGTAGGACTGTGTCACAGAGGTCTAATGATGCATCTAGGTAGGAACCACAGGGTGGCACCGGCGACTGGTCTACGACAATGATCTTTCCAGTACACCCCCAACTCAATACCTGATTCACAAGCCCCTAATAACTAAGTCCTCAGAGATCCAGTGTTTAATGGCTTAAGATGGTGGGTCTACAGAGGCCTACTGGCTGCGTCTATTTATTAACTCCCGCTGGTTCTCAAGCAGATTTCTCTCACTTTTAAACCATATGAATAATATACAAATACGTGCCAGGAACCAAAGTATAAAGTAGTTGATGATAGTGACCTTCATCTCCCAATCAGTCACATTCAGCTTAGGAATCCTGCAAAGAATTCCTGCACCCTTGCCCTGTGAAAATTATGGCCACAGATTTCACCCTGTTTCAGTTCACAGAAGTTAAGATTAATGATACTAACCAGGCTGCTTTCCTGCCTCTTCCACGTTGGAATTCCCATCTCGATCTGGAACAGCTGCTGGCAGGAACATGCTGCTGGGCATCACCATCTCAGGGGTAGTCACCTGAGGAGTGAGAGGCAGAGACACAAGGAGAGTCAAATAGAGAGAAAAGAGACACAAAATAGGAAAGGTTGAAAAAATTATTTAATAAGCAAAATTAGCCTTCACCAGTGTAAAGCTGGAGGTGTCACTTTTCATAGCTCACTGAAGATTCATGTTTATTAGATAAAGCTCACATCAGTCAAAAGTGTTTCTACGGTTACATTCTGGACATAATTAGCAGTGCACACCTGAAGAATAATCTTATTATTAATATTTTTCCTTTATGCAGAATTTTGACTTTGATCACTGACAATGTTTTGTCATGGGCTGTGAAACTTCTCGTGCAACCAATTAGGTAGATAAGTTGAAAGACCCACCTTAAGCTGCTGAAAACATAATAAGGGCCCTAATTAAATCATACCGAGTAAAGTACACTGTAATCTTGAAGCAGGGAGCACTGTAGTAGTGTTTTCAAAATGTATTCAGGCAAGAAGAGGAGGGGAGGAAGAGTGAAGGAAAGGCTAAGGGGGAGAGGAGAACAAAGGCAAGGCTGAGGACATGCAGACACACTGGCAGATTTTCCAGGAAACAACACTTTGTAACCCTTTACAAGCTGATATCAAGTGCAAACAAGCCTTTTTCATGACTCACTTAAGCCAGAATTTCTTCTGGAGTCTTTGCCCGAGGTCTATGACATCAGAGGGAACATCTGCCCAGCATCCCAGCCATCAAGGGCAGCCTGTACAGCAAGGTGGCCCCACCTCGACCATGGCCATTATTCCCTAATACAGCAATTCCATAATTAGCCTGGATCCAAGCAGCTCCAATTTTAGGTCAGATCCTTGGATATTTCTCCAGGCCTCCCTCCTAGAGAGGAGGCCAGCAGCTTATGCCAACAAGTTATCATTTGCCCTGTGTTAAGGAGATAAGCATCTCTCAATTTCTAATATAAGGAGAAAAAAGTTTTTGTTTAAAAAAAGAACAATATCATCCCAGTGACCCAGGAAAATGAGGCAGGAGAACCTCAAGCTCAAGGCCAGGTTCAGTAACTTGGAAGACCCTGTCTCAAAAAAAAAAAAAAAAAAAAAAAAAAATCCAGGGATACTGTAGCTTAGGATGCTTCCAGGTTCAATTCCCAGTAACGAAGGAAAATAACCCCAAAACCAAAAACCAAAACCCAGCAATATCCCTTTGTCTACTCTGAGGTGGGACGCTTAGATGGCAAAAGTAGTTTCAAATGAATTAGAAATCACCTCCCATTTCATGAAACCCTGAAAAACAGACTGACCTAGAGGTTACAGGGACAGAAACTGCAGTCACCGCTAACCTTTCTACATGCAGCCCAGCCCCAGTCGGAGTCATTGCTTTCCCAAGCAAACACGACTTTTACTGCAGTAACATCTTCACTTCCTATTGCAAAGACCGGACCTTCCAAATTTTTGTTCAAAATTAAATAAATAATATTTTAAAAATAGTCTTTAGTGGCTTGAAGTTCCTGCCCTTGCTCAAAATAGCTGCTGACATGTTCACTAGTATCACTGGCAACAGGCTCAACAACCAGCTGAAACCCAGACAAGCGGCATCAACACCAAAAAATTGATGCCCCATCACTTTTAGGGGTATGAGAATTTTTTCAGCCACTGAGACACCCATATGTGCAAAAATTAAGCAACAGGCACTAGAGAGGAGGGTTCTGAGAAGCCTGTGTTTGCAAAGAGCAGGTGCGTGGCAGGTGAATGTGAGTGACACGGCACTCCTGCTCCCAGACATCTGCACCCTCGCACAGAGCTGCCGGCAGCTGGTTAGGGCGAGCTGCTGCTGAATCGTTAAAATGGGGTAGAGATTGCCAAACTCATTCCATCTATTTTCTTTTTAATAGAAAGCATTTCTGACCAGTGTGGCTGGGGAGTCCAGCGGGAATCCAAGAAGTGAAAGGTCACCGATTAATTTATAGTCTTCAGCCAAGGGGGAGCACGAGGTTGGGGGCGAGAGGGGGAGAAAAAGAAAGGAAAAAAGATTCCCCCCAACCTCCTTTCCCGGTTGTGGCTGCAGGATCAGTCCTTTCCTGGGATCTTTAGGAATTATGAAAAATGAATCATGAGAAATAAAAAAAAAACCCTACAGAGTAAAAAAGAATAAAATTATCTAACACCTCAGCTGCACATCATTATAGAAAACTGTGGGCTTTTTATACGCATTACAGTAAGGCAGACATCCCCTCTAACAGACTCAGTACGGCGGATCAGTAATTGTTTTCATACACTTTAATTAGAAAAACTCAGATGGCTATGAATAATAATGGAAAAGAGAGACTTTTGCACTTGAAAGGTTGAAGTCAATCAAGTGTGAATGACGGCAAAAAAGAAAAAAAAAAAAGACACCAATTCATCAGCCCTCTGTTGTCTCGCTGCGACTTTAATCATAATTCCTGATTGGGATTCAAGAAGGCAGTAAGCAGCGGTTCTTTGTCTGCCTTCACCTTCCATCAATTAACTCTCCCCGAAATATAATCATCAACCTCACATGCTCCTCTGCATCTTAATCTGGGCCTCCAAACCTGGAAGTCTTGCCCCATATGTGTTTAAGTAACTACTTTTATCCACCTGCCTCTTCTCATCTATGGTATATGTAGCCACTCCCTGAGGCAAAGGAAAAAAAAAAAAAAGCATGGTGTACGAAATTTTAACAGGCAAGGAGGCTCCAGGAGGCAAACAGGAAGTTTCACGAACGGAAATCTTTAAGGACCTAGAAATGGTAGGGTATGTCTGCACATGCATCTGAAGAAAAGTTGAGAGCAGGAGCTGCCTCGCTACACTGGCTTTGGGAGACCCCGCACTAGTTCGCAGACACCAAGATTCCCAGGCCCGTGCTGTTCCCTCCCGGCCAGCTTCCAAAGCTTTTCACTCTAACTCCTGTGCTTTTTCCTAAAGAGCTATCAACTATCCTGCCAACGGAGCTCACAGAGCAGTCCTGCTAAGTGAGGGAAGGGAGAGGGACCCAAGACAGCAGTGTCCCTGCGTCACCTGCCTTGACATTGTCTTTGTTTTCCAGTAGTATTTGACTACCAGAGTGCATGGAAGGTTCAGACTGTCCCAGCCCCAGTCCCTGATGGACAGCTGACAGTGGGAAAGTCAGTCACGCAACTGTGCTGAGTACAGTTCTCTGTCACCAGGAACACTGAACATATAGAATTTATGAGAGGACAAAACATTTTAAGTGTGCCCAAGCTTCAATGGTCTTCAAATAACTGGATCCCTCCACCAACTTCCCTGTATAGACATCATGTACATGAGCTGGCTGTCGCTCTCTTCCCCTGATTCCTCTCTGTTTGTCCACCCTCCTGCCTCATCCACATCCCCAGCTGTAAACTCAAAAGCCAAACAAAAATTTCTGAGCTTTGGTCAATACACAATCAGCTCAAACTCCTTCACTCAACACTGACTGTCCCGTCTGTGTGAACCGATCCTAATGATCTGTACACCTGTAAACACTGAACACCTTCAATTATATTTCCCATTCTCTACTCTCTTTTCTAATGGGCCTGAGAATATCAAAACAGACTTAACAATAAAAGTTCTTCTGGCTAAGAAAACTCAACTGATCAGAAGAGGCTTTTAATGCGTACAAAAAGCCCAGTTTTCTATAATGATGTGCAGCCATTGCTTCCTTGGCATTTGGGTCTCTCAAGATTGGCCTTGGCCCTGCCAGGGGTGATCTTCTAGACAGCACATGTTTTCCTCCTCCTACCCCTTCTGAACCAGGTCAGCTATGTTCCTCCCAGAATATGCAGGAGTGAAGAGAACACAGGAAGAAACCACCAGCAGAGCTGGGGCGCTCCAAGCCTAGAAACAAACAGTGGCTTTAACATCTCCCAGCAAGTTAACGATCTCATGTATAACAGGAGAAACTCGGGGCTCGGCTCCTGTGCTGAAACTCCTCCAGCTGAAGCTGGAAGCACTTCTCGTATATAATCACAGAAACAGAGAAGTTCCCAACTGATGCTAAAGATCTTCAAGCCTAAGCAATCCCCAAACAGCTCAGCTGTTGAGAAGCAAGGGCCTGGAGGGACTCGGTTCCTCCACAAAGCACTGGACAGCGCTCCTGGGCTGTTCTCCTGGGGGAGGGAGACCAGGCCCCTGCCCTAAGAAGCTCAGCATCCAGAATAAAGTTTTGAGATCATGAATCCCTTGGGGAATTTGATGAAAGTAGTAGACTCCTAGAAAAATACTTTCACACATGATACTGCAAATAATTTCAGGGAGTCAGAGGTCCCCAGAGGGAAATATGTTGACTCAAGGGAATTGCCCTTGATCAACTGGAAGAGGTGACAGGTGTTCATAAGTACTGACTTTCAGTCTCCTCCTCATTTGGTTCATCATTGTTCTGGATTATAATTTAATACCTTTCAAGATCCTATGAGTGAACCTGAAAGCCCCAAGGACACACCTTATAGAGCCTAGAATCTTATATTTGGTTCTGGTCCCCACTTTGACATTTGTTACAGGGTTGCTGATATTTACTCCTTCTTGAGAGAGGCAGGTGTTAGAAGGATACCTACCTGCTTCCGACCCCAGATCACAGATGTGGAATGCTCAAGCTCAAAGTGCCGTGCAGCCATGTCTCTGGTTCTTACCAGATTATTCCTGCAAATTCACCCCATAAGGCCACCCTCAGACAGGCTGGCCTAGGATGAACCAGTGCAACCAACGTGCTCCCTGCGTGCTGGAAAGCTGGCTTTCTTAGAGAAAGTGTCGAACCTCGTTTCTCCATGACTCTCCTCTCCTCTCCTCCACCTTGGGCCCTGCTCAGAAGTGGGGCTTCTCTGGGAAAGGCTCCCTCTTCCAAGGGAAGGGTAGATTTGCCAAGGTCTACATTCCCAAGGATTTTCAGTGAAAATCAACAGAATGGAGCATCTCAGGCAGAGGGGGAAAAGAGAGGGAGCCACAGGCACAGACCCTGCCAGTCTCCATACCCCTGTGAATGAGGTGCTGGTTCTAGCCCCAAATTTAAGCACAAAGTTAAAACTCAACTGCTTTCAGGGTGGAGCATTAAAGCTAGTGGCCAGTGGTGTGCGGAAAGCTGCTGCTCCAGGAAGCACAGGTGCTCCCTTCCTCCCTGCGCTGGGACGGCCGCCAGGCCCACCAGCTGGTTTCTGCACACCTCAGCCAGCAAACCAGGGCGCCTCTGGCAGCAGAGCTTCAGAGGGTCCCCTCCTCACTGCCTTCTAATGGTGCAGACCGGCTCTGGACTACAGCGTCTGGAAGACCCAGTTTCTTTCTTTCTTTCACCTCTCTCTCTTTTTTTAATCTACTTTAAAATTTTTTTCAATTGACACATAATTGTACAAATTTATGGGGTGCAATATGAAGTATACTTAGTTTAATGATCAAATAAGGGTAATTAGCATATTTATCACCTCAAACATTTATCACTTCTGTGTGACAAAACATTAGAAATCCTCTCTTCCATTTTGAAATACACGGCCAGTCAGCCTTTGTGCAATCAAACATCAGAATGAGTTCTTCAAATCAGACTGACTTTGTACCCATTGGTGAGTCCCTCCCAGCTCCCTGCCCCCCTCCCCATTTCCTTTCTCAAATGGCTTCTGTGTGCTTGTTTCTGTGCTTCTTGTTTTTAATACATAAAATTCACAGCGAAAGCAAACAAACAAAATAAAACTGCAGGCCATGTTAACGTTCATGTGGGTCAGAAACAAATGCAGACCAGAACCAGATTTTTAAAGGTAAGAAAGAGAAAGATTGAAAAAAGGGGCAGGGGAAGAGGAAGAGGCAGGAAACACATGAACAGTTACCACAGTGTGTGCACACAGAGGAGAGCCGAGGAGGAGAATGGAGGGAGAGAAAAGCTTCATTAGACTCTGAGAGGCAAGCAGTGGCAGTATACCAAGGTCACTTCTAATTTAGACCATCTAATTGGCAAACAGGCTCCAAATGGCTATCATCTCACAGGGCTTGGAATTAATGAAGCCCGATTATTTTCATTACTTTCCTCTGAGATGGAGACAGAGTGAAAGAGCTGACACCCAGGTGGGTGTGAAAGCCCCAGGGCCAGTGGCCACCAGAGAGGCCCTGTGGGGTGGGGGCAGAGCAGTGGCCAGACGGCCAGCCTGTTCCATAGACTCACAGAGGCACAGGCACACACAGAGCACGGACAGTCACAGACACTGCCTGAAGATCACAGGTGACAAACTACTGCTCCCAAAAGAGAGATACAAGAAAATGGCAGGCAGGGCAGGGCAGGGCACGGCCAGGGGCACAGAAGGGAAATCTGTGCGTGTACAAAACAGAGCAGCTGAGTACTACAAAAGGGAGGAGAGGGTGCTCCCAGGCTCAGGAGCCCATCCTCATCTCAACTGTGAGGTCCTATTTTGTTAAGTGATTAAAGAACAAAGAAAATTTCCCCATATTAATGATCCAGGATCCCAGTGGTATGTCCTGTCACTTAGAAAGACAGTGATCAATTAGAATAATTTAAGAGTATTGAAATGCATGGTAGGTGGTCTTTTCCATTCTCATCTAGGGGCCAGAAACATGTGCTCCATGTCCTCCACCTCCTTCCCCCAAAGATACAGAAAATAAGGGCATGAAGCAGTAGCTCCTACAGCTCCATCAATTTGAAATCCCCAGCTTCTCTGAAAATAGGTGAGACTTGGTTGTGTGAAACTGACATGGGGGTGGGGGGCGGACTGCCAGGATTGGAGGGGCACTTGTCTCATCTCCTTTAAGCTTTATAGATTTCCTTCTTTCATATGACGTGTACAAAGACACCATCTGGAGCTGTTTCCAATAGGCCAAGCAGAATGATGTGCCGTGGGTGCAGTTTCCATAGTGGAGGGCCAGCGCTGCAATTGTTCCTGGTGAAGAATATTTTTCAAGCCCCCTCATGAGTAAAAAGAAGGGGGCCCATGGAAGACATAGATATGAGATGCAGAGCATAAGCAAGCAGCTGTTACCATAGCAACAGACATATTAGACACTGCAGGTTCCTGAAAGCTGTCTGATAAGGTATTATTAAATGAAGCCTACTCAAAACGCTCTCCATTTACAACTGAACAGGAAGACATTGTGTAGAAAGTAATCTCTTTCCATTTATCAGGGTGGAATTTACTTTTAGAGGGACTGAAACCCAATTCAAGCTAGATCCCAAGACTTTGGATCCAGACTGCAAAAAAAAAAATATTTACCCAAATTTATAGCTTTAGACACACCCCATATCTGCCAGGAATCAACTACCTGGCAGATTCTGCCAGCTTCTCCTATTCTGCAGCCAAAGGCACCTAACTCAGCCACCCCTTGAGAAAGAAAGAAGACTCTCTCTTCTTGCTGCCATTTAGGAATAAAGCAGACACAACTTTGTCCTCTTGTTGGATGAAAGACCAGAGACTGGCCGCTCTTTAGTGATATGGTCTAGAAAATGGAGCACAGATTTGAGGGGCATTTCTCTTTGCAGAGTTTCCTGTTCCAGTTGGCTGGGAACAAACAGATAAATTGTCAGAGAGCCTAACCAATACTTTCCCAGGGCTGATTTTCTAATAAAATTACAGCAAAATACCCTCTAGAGGCATGATTTTAACCACAGGTTCATTATAATCACTTAGTTGTAAAACAACTACAAATTCCATTTTAACACCAAACTTCTGAGAGGAAGGATGCTGGCATCTGACCAAGACCAGTATCCCAGTCCTCAAACAGGATTCCAGACGCACCCTGGGGTGTGGCTACAAATTGCCCTCTAGCCCTAGTTGCTCATCATTTCCTGCTGAACCCAAGGATCCAGGTGGAAATGCATCATTTGGCTCACTGCAAACCATCTCATGACTAGGAACCAATTTCATACTGGCAGGCCATGCCACAACTCCATCTTCCCATGCCCAGAGAGTGCCAAAGCAGCCTTGCATGCACTTCTAAGGAAAAAGTAACACACTTAAATGATGATCTTTCCTGCATTTCTCACAACTTATTTTTGAATCCGTTAACTCTTTTCATTGCTAGCAAATCCATTTCCTAAAACCAATACATTTCCAACAATCTGCACACTTTTCAGAAATGTCTAGAAAACATCTTCATTGTCTGCTGTGGCAAGATGAGGCACACAGGGGTTTCTAAATCAGGTGCCAAGCACTACTTCTTTTGAGAGCAGTTTCTCCCACATGATTATACCGTCAGGGGTTGAAGAAAAGGGATCGTTAAGCAGCTCCCTGAATGTAGCCTTAAGCTCCCTGGCGTTGTGCACACAATTCTGTATTTGCAGAGTACTTGATGGAGGATCTACAACAGTGGCTATTAAGTTTTAGCATGCACAAATGGCCTAGTATGCTGTTGTATTGCTTTCATCAGTCTCTAAAATGGTTGAAAAATCACTGCTTCAAAAGATGGTGGTTAGTGGGTAACTTCCAGGAATATCTTGAGGATTGGTACTCAAAAGTAATATCCTGCTGTTGATATTGACACTGCTAGTAAATGAAGAAATGCTATTGCTACTCTAACTATATGACCAAAAAGAAAAAAACAAAAAAAAACAAAACAGGTATCTGAAATATAATTCACATGCCATGCTGTCCTCCATGCACGTAAAAATAAAATTTACTGTCCAATGTAAACCAGTCATGCAGATTACTATTGGCCCACAGTTCCTATGCTGGATTTGGATTAAATAGCAAAAATACCAATCTGAGCAAAAGAAAACCCGTAGTTAAGTATTGGAAATGCTTCCATGCCCACACTCCTTTTTGATCCTTCAGGCTCCCAGGGTTCCAGACCATCTGCTAGGAAGTGAGATGAGGCCTGGGAAAAACACCTTGTTTGTTCCAAGAGGCTGGTGAGAATGCTGGAGAGGCCTGCAGCCCAGAACCATCCACAGGTGGAACATCTGTCCCACTGACAGAGAATCTTTCCACAAAGTTCACCAGCCTCTCTGAAAATGCCCATGGAAAGTGAATTTCTACTTGAAAGATGTCTGGAAGAAGCTCACAGTAGGTCACCTCTGAGTTTTCCATTAGCTGTTAAAGTTCTCTTGATGCATCATCAATTACATGATCCTCAAACTAAACATCACCTGCAACATCGTCCATCAGTCTCACCTAACCAAATGGAACAGGAAATGCCTACAGGTGATTATGATCAGAATTAAATCTTTATATTACAAACTTTTGGGCCATGTTTATAGCGACCACTTAGAGTCGTTCCCTCAAAGCCTGCAGGTGTAGTAACAATGTGCTTACATGCAAAGATGACTCACGAATCACCAAGTGACAACTTTCTTTCTTGATACTAATATATCCATTTGAGAAACTCCCATATTACTGTGCTACACCTCGAGTTAGAAATGTAGGTTTAAGTCTTGATTCTGCCACTTATAAATGGTGTCAAGTCAATTAACTTCGAGTCTCAGTTTCCTTATCTGTTAACGGGAACATGTTGAATTCTCCTTCCCCGGCTTCTCTCTCTTACAACAGAAGTTGTTATGAGGATGAAATGAGGCATAGTGAATTTAAGAGCCACCTCGACCTGCTCAGTAAAGGTTGCAGAATCTGAATGAGGGTTTCTACACATTAATGGACAGTCACTCCATTCCTCCGAATCCCGAGAGAATGATAAAGGAGGGTGAGAAGCACATATTTAGCAGTTTGGGCCATGGTCATGCCAAGTCTGAGGGAGGGACATCTGAACAAAGGTCACAGAGCTCAGATGATTTTCTAACAATTCCAACTTTGCATGGCTTTCCCTGCCAACCACAAAGATCTCGTTCATGTTACTGTATCTCCTTTTGGCCCCTGGAGGAAGAAAAGTCCTGTTCCTGGTGCCTTACCGTCATAATGAGTTTCTCCACGCAGTCGGGTGCCACGCTGTGGAGGTGGGTGAGGTGCAGCTGGAGGTGAATCTTGTTGTTGAGCATGTCCTGGCACAGGGGGCAGCGCAGCATGGGCTGTACTGAGTGCTGCGTCATGGCGTGCACCCGGAGCCGGTTCACGTCGGCGTTGCTGTACTTGCAGTAGGGGCACTGGTACATCTGTGGGGACACACCCACCGCTCCAGCTGAGTCTTCCATTCTCGCCTCAAGCCCTCCCACCCTAGTGTTCATTCCCCACCAGTGTCAAATTGCCCTCCACCCCCAGCAGGGCCTCTTCAGCCTCACCTGCTCTGGTTTGCTCTCCTCGGATGTTTTTGGTCGCTTCGAAGAGAGAGGACAGTCTGAGCTACCCGGGAAGGAGATGCGTTTAGAGGTTGCAGGAGAATCTGTCAGCTCCTTCTCTGCTTGGCTGGACGATGCTGGAAGAAAAAGTAGAAGATGAAATACAGTAGGCAGACCAGGCCCGCTGCAGGTGTGTGTTGGGTGAGAAACAGCATTCCATAGCGTTATTTTAAAGCAGTGTTTTGTTAAACACCAAAATGCAGGAAGGATGAACATCCAAACTGATTTATCAAGCGTGTTGGAAAAGAGAAGGGTTTCTTTTCTCCCTATGAATTTCTGTCACCACACTAACAACTGAACATTGGGAAAAGAGGGTAAAGAAATGGAATACAAAGCTCTAGAGTAGAATAAGACTAAATCCAGTCCCTTCTAACCTCCCCCAACCTACACATAGTCCGATGTCTTGTATCTGCAGGGGGTAACAGGGCTACAAGTGGGTGGCCAAATCTCACCAACTGCTTTGCCAACTTGAGTACCAGACACACTGCTTCAGAGAATCAAGAAACTAGACATCCCTCTCCTGGAGCCACAACACAGCACACTACAGGCAACCTGATAAATTATAATCTGAGAAGGGTTCAGTGGATATCTGGATACTAATATGTAGGAAGAAATCAAGTCTGGGTCCAGCAGTTTGCTCTTAGAGAAGAAAAAACTGGGGAGTGGAACTAGGCAGGGAGTTTATCCAAGTTATAAACTGGCCAATGTGTCAGATGTAAGAGGCTGCTCAGGAGGGGTGGAAAGGGAACGGGTGTCCTATCTGGGGGCACAATCAGGTCTCTGCGGCCCTCTGTCCCACCACCCCAAAATCAAAACACCAGTGAATGAAGAGAGGTGCATGAGGTTTGATTAGCAAACAGTGGGTATGGATGTGTTGGCAGAAGGAGCTCTCTGAAGCAGAAAGGAACCTGGAAGATTTTGATGAGAAAACAGCTGGGCTAAGGGTCTAATCAGGATAAGCACGTCTCCTCCAGTGTAACACATATTCCAACATGGCTGGCTTTGGTCATTCTAAAGCCTGGCTGGCATCTGAGGGATAAGCTCTTTCACTTGTTTTGGACATGGAACTCCATTTTTCAGAATTTTGCAAAAAACAATAAGGAAAAAAAATCCCAAAAAATGGTTGGGAGAAGATACATATACACACAGCTGTCATCAAAAAATACTGTGACTCAGCATTTAGGTCACCAGCTAGCCTAATTTTTACTCCACAGTAAAACTGCTTTCTTCCCCACCCTGTCTAGTTCTCTAGCACATATTTTCACTTTATATTCAATTTTGAAATTTGTTCTTCTGTGGACACCAAGGAACTGTCATTGTAGATGTGTACTTTAATAAACAACTTTAGAAAATCAATTTTATTCATTCAAATCATAAGGCCACAAAATTATTTTGAAAAAAAATTGCCAAATACAGGAAATATTCCAGGAAGTTGATGTTCTTCCCAGAATGCACATCTTATGACCTTTCACCTCAGTATCTTGGTAACCTGGTATCCATAAGTTTGTAGGACATCTATTATTTAAAAAGTACAAGGACAAGCATATTACACATAGACCCCTCCTCCTCCCAACACAGATTCATAACAGTACTTTAATCTGTCTCGAATCGACTTCAAACCCATTTTGCTCTTAATGGGAGTTATTCATTTTCACTTGAAAGGTAATACATGACGGCGGGATATTTAATGTGATGGACTGGCTGCTGATTAACTAGGTGCTGTAACATTCTAGACCAGTTCCCCCATGGCCCGCTTCCCATCTCCTGGCCCCTGTCAGACCTGATCCTACGGAATCTTGCACTGCAGGTTTTAGACCTTAGCCCCTGCCTGGACACTTCCACGACCTCAGGGTAATGTTTCAGGAACTCAAGTTCCCTCTGTCCCCAGAGGGTTCCTTATTCTCCATCATTTTTATTTTTGCTTAGTGGATATTGTCTAAATAGTAACTCTTCAAATACACTCTAAAGATGGGGTGAGTGAAGGCATCAAATGGCACAGTCTTTAGATGATTATTTGTCCCTGTTGTCCCCTCACCTTCCCTATTTCACACCATTAGATTTTGGGCTTAGTACTTACAGTGGGGAAGGGCTACTATCTGCTTCTCCTCTCCTTCAGAGGCAAACCAAAATCCAGGCTCCGTTCTGACACCCATCCCAGTGTTTCTGTTAGTCTCTCTGGCCCGAAACTACACCAACGTTTACAGGACCACGACATCGCTGTATCAAGGCCTCCACCTGCCTGTCACCCCACCATGGACTGAGTTGACTGTGTAGCTGCTCAGCAGTGAGAATGAATGGGCGCCGAGGCTGAGACCACCCAACTCATCTCACTCTCTTGGAGCTGAAAAGCAAACACAGGAACCCAGTGTGGCATTAGTTTCCTCGTAGGACCAAAGAGTCCATCCTCCTCCTTCAATGCTGAACGCGTGCATTGTAGCGGGGTTGCAGAGGTGAGCATTCCGGTTTCAGAAGCCACTATTCTTTCCCCCTGCATGGAGAGGGGAACCTTTATTACCTTCTTTTTTTTTTTTTTTCAAACTCACACTGCTCTGGAATTCTAAAGCTTCTTTTGTGAGCTTGAGCTAAAGAGCCATTATAAAGTGTTTTAAAAAATAAAATCAGTACTCGCTCACTCATTCCTCTTTATTCCCAGTGACACAACAGCTCTGCTGTAATGTGAAATACTGTACCTGCTGGTGCACAAACTTTGGGTTTAATCTCCTTTCTCTCCGAGACAACTGCGTCCTTGTTAGATGGACTCTGCCTGGAAGTGGACACGAGCCACCAGCTCACTAGCTCCTCTAGAGACAAAGCAAGACCATTCTTACAACCGAGTCTATAACCACCCAGACACAACCTGTTTCCTAGGGGCTGTGGGGACCATGCCTGGGAGTTAGGTTAAGCACAGCTGACACAGTCTCCTCCCTACCTGGACCTCAGACACAAAAACATCAAGTCCTGAAGGGGAAACTTTGTCCTACTTCTGAGTGGCAGGAATTCCTCATCAACGTGTTAGCTGAGGGTTTATTGCAGGCCACAACCCGAGGTTTGCTCAAGTTTTTCTCTGAACAACTTCAAAAGGACCTGAGTCTCAAAATCAATTTCTGCTTCATTTCTGTCACTAGCATATGTCGTAGGCATAAGGAAATGAGGCCGAAAGAATATCAAGAGAAAGTACTGTAGTTTTCTGCTTTGAAGACTTTTCTAAACTTGAACTTAAACTCTAAAAGAGATGTCACAATATAGAAAACACCATTAAAAAATCAATTACTGGTCACTCTGAGTCTGCCATGATGTAACATCAGTGCAAAGGAAATAGATGTGCTCCAGAGACAGGACATGGTTCAAACAGTCAGTGCCTGAAATCTCTGGTTTATACCAGCAATGAGAAAACCAAACAATGTGAAGGGTTACTACCTGTGGTGGCTGTTATAATAATGATAAAGTAAATTGGCAGCAATCTACATACCTTACAGCAGGGCATGGTATAGCCATTATAATGCATATTAGAGGACATTAAAAATTTCTAGCTCTGAAACCAATATGGAAAAAAAAACATTGGAAATGTAAATCAGAAAAGAAGATAAAGTTGGAATTATATTATGTCACCACTATGTAAAAAAAAATAGATATTAGGAAGAAACTAGAAGAAAATGGATTTCGGTGAGAGCATCTTGGGCCATTTTTAAAGTCTGTTATGTAGTTATATTATCCCTAATATTATAATTAAATGGTTTAGCATTTAAATTCAGCTGTCCATAAAAAAGTTGATATTTGGATCCATACTGTGCAAAACATCAGGTGGTATTTTTTTTTTTTTTTTACTTTGCTGGTTAAAGCAAATTTTCTCACTTTGGCAGTTATGTCATATGAAAATATGTGTTAAATCGCAATGAATCTTCCACAGGCGACATGCTGGGATCCTGGCATTTCAAAAGGGATCAAAACGTGGCAAGGAATTGTGAGTGGTGCAGTGTAGATGACACACTCTGTCGGGCAAGGTAAACGGGATGTTGTGACAAGGGAAATGTTGGGTCAAAATTCCTACTGAAATTTAACAGAGTGCTGGCCGTGGTTCCTTGCTACACCGATTTTCTCAGGAGTTAAAAAGCACATGGTCATCTTGTTAGGAGGTGCTGCTGGCCCACCTGGCTTACACAGAAACAGCTGGTGTTTCTACCCTGGAGTTCAGAAAATTCAAATTGGCTTTTGGGCAAAGGGCTAAGAGCTACTGTACCGTTCAACTGGGAGAAAGGAAACTATCAAAGACAAATATTGAAAGAGGGAGACCTGATTCATGATTCTCCATTTTATTGTCTCAAGTTCCTCTACGTTTTGGACAAAAACAGACAAATAAAAACAACATTTCAAAGGGAAATGTGGTCATTAATAAATGGTTTCCATAGGGAGAAAAATTATCCATGCCTGGAGGCATCTACCTTCAGATATCCTTTGACTTTATCATATTTGGGGAGTATTTAACCTCTAAAATAATTATTTAAAAAGGTATCCCTCCTCTCGTACTAGGAGGAAGAGCAGCGAAGAGGGCTCATATGAACTCAGGCAAGTTTTGCTGGCCCTTTGCAAGAAATGGTTCTATAACGTTCTAATCCCAGAGGATAATTAAAACAAGGCTGGAAAAACTTGATTTAGGAAATGACTTGCTTTAAAGAGTAGGTGAGGGAAGTGTCATCCATCTGCTGATGAAGTGGTCACGTATGGGAGAAAGGCAGCATTTAAACCTCACGTCACCTATGGTCTCATCTGCTCACATCACTCTTCCCAGAAAACAGTCTCACCCAATCCCCGTCTTCTCTTCCACATCGGAGTCACTGAGACTTTGGCCACAGAAGACTTCAAAGAGTTGTATATGCAACTCCAGTGACCTTGATTCCCAAACATGCCTCATTTCTCCTCTGGTGACATTGGCTGTATGACTCTGAAACCAGGCAAGGCACCAAGCTGCTGCCTCATGACAAGCCTGAAGAAAAACTGGAAATGACGAGAAAAAATAGAACTTGTGCGCATCCAGCTTTCAGCCCCCTGTCATCATCAGCCTGGGGACCCGCCTGTCCTC